ACATGGCAACAGAGATGAGGACAATAATGTAAATAGTGTAAAAAAATAAATCATATCTATATCTATAGACTCTTATTCAAAAATTTGTCAAATGCATTAGTCATACGTAGAAATAAATTCAGCCACAACTTTAATTTAAATAATGGCACAGTATTGTATCTTATCAGAATAGAAAACTGCATTTTCAATTATCTACGTTCCTGAAAGAATTATCTCTTTTTCAAGTCAACACACATGACTATAAAAATGTGAAAAAATTAAAAAGAAAACAGCTAAATTCATGACTTCTTTTTATTTAAAATCTACAATTTACCCCGAGGACTGTCAACAGAAGCAACAGCCAATAGTCAGCTCGAGGAGAAAATAATTACAATCAAGCTGTTAAAATTCCACACTACTTCAAATAGAATGTTCTGAAAGAAACCCGCATCAATAATGGAAAGAGCTACAACAGCTACCGGATTTGAAAAAAAAACTATTTTCTTGAAAAGTTATTTGAAGAGAAATATTTTAAAGATTTCAACCGATAGATTTTACTTTAATCCGCATATTAAAAATTGTATTATATAAAATCAGAGGCAGCTATTATTATTATTATTATTATTAGTAGTAGTAGTAGTAGTAGTAGTAGAAGAAGAAGAAGAAGAAGTCGTAGTGGTAGTAGTAGTAGTAACAGTAGAGTTTTCATATCAGCAGTGACGTCCAACGTGAGATCATTGAAATGATATTAACAGGCATGTTAGTTGTCAGTTGTTTTTATTGGTGCTGTCGTCTGGATATTTTGGTCTGCCGTGAAATTCCAGGTCTTCTAAGAAGTCTTCGCGATTGATCAACGAACGCTGAAGAAGATCCTTTATCATTGTCAACGACAGTTTCTGCGATATTTTTCACCTCCCCCACAATGTTTAAAAAAAAATGTAGGTTATCGCTTTCTTTCAGATTTAACACATCTTGTTTGAATAACGAAACCATTTTCTTTTCTTTCTTTTTTTTTTTTTTTTTTGCCAAACGTTCACCCAATACGAAACCCAAGAGCCCTTAAGGTAGAGAGTTGATGAACGCGGTTGTTCTATGGGCGTAAGAGGAGGGGGAAAGGGTAGATTATTAGAATACGTAAACGTCTAACTCGAGGCTAGAAGACTTTTCGACTGGAGTGATCACGGAATCATCATCTCAGGGGTATGCTTCCGATATCATTACAATCAAAGAATCTTACGCCCGTTTCCCATTAACGCGCTTTGCATTTCTAGACGCTAATACCAAGACAATGTCTTCAAACAGAAGATGCAAAACCAATTAAGATTTGTTCTGTTATATATATGCCGAGTTTATAGCAACGAATAAAAGAAAATCGATCGATGATATTGTCAGAAAAAAAAAAGCTCATCATTCTTTCGTTCAACACAAGAATTCTGTATTACCCATTGTCTGTGTAGACAAAATCATCTTCTTTGAAACTATTTATTTTTCGACACTTTTAGATGAAGAATTTTACTGTTCGTCCACCCACTTACACAAGCACATTAGATAAGTTACTCTAAGTTTTTCCTAGATCCTATTGATTCCAATATATCCAGTGAGGGTCAGATTCCCCAAGGCCGCCTTCATCCTTATGTCCGAGAAATTTCAACTCTCTATTAATGATTCTAAGTAAAAGTGTCCTTTTTTTGGCTTTCATTTTACTTAAAGCATTCTCGTTAATCGCATGTTCAGTCAATGGTATTCTCACTATCTTTTACTAGAACCACAGTTTCGATGCTTTACGTCTTTTCATCATCATTGAGGAGATTATCCATCATTTATTGCCATAAAAGAGGATCAATATTACAGAACAGTTCAATACTCTATTATTAGTCTCCGACGAGATTTTCATGTTTCTTAATACTTTGCTTGACTTTAAAAAGCATCTTTTGGTAACACGATGTACCTTCGGATTTCGGTGAGCCATATTCCGTCATTGAGTAACGATGAAGTTTTAGAGAAAATGGAAACAAAAAGGACCCTATACAAAAGAACATTAAGAAAAAGATTCTAGGGCAAATATGGTGGAAAGAGGGCTTGGGAGATCTGACAATCACGGGACATATTCATGGTAAACAGGACAGTGGACAACAGCGTAAAAATCTACTTGGCGAGCTTGAAAGAACAGTGTTTAGGAGAGATAAGAAAAAGACATTTATTAAGAGCTACAAAGGACAGGAAATCGGGGAGAGCCGTGGTCGCCTACCTCCTTAAGAGGGAGGACACACAGAAGAGAGAAAAATTATCCATAGGATTATTGTCCCTAATGTCATCGGCTAATTTATGAGCTATTATAAAATAAGAAAATAAGAATTATAAAATAATATAATAATATTATAAAATATAGCTATTTTTCTGGGATTCGTTGATAGTATTTTTTGTGTGCAGTGTTGCATAGAAATATTAATTTCTGTTCAAAATTCAAAATAGTATTTACTAAAAATTCATCAAAATCTGCTATCAACCATCTTGCCAAAAAGTTTTCACCAAATTAATGGACTTTTCCTGTAGCCTGCGCAGATATTAGTCGACTAGAAAATCGATAGTTCATCATGTCTATAAAAATGGAATGATGCCTGGCAATCAAAACAGTTGTAAAATAAACAAATAAATGATTAAAAGATTGAAGAAGGTTATCGAATGTCAACGAACCGATCTTAAAAAGAGAATTGTATTAAAATATTCATTTATTCCGGAATAGAGGTTCTTGTGTTAATCCGGTACATGTTTCTCTGTCCGCCATCTTTTCGATTTATTTCGAAAGGATAAATGACGTTGCATTTCCTTTGTTTACGCAATAAAACCCGATATCCACGAAAAGGTATAATCTATTTTTAGAAAATATTGTTAGATACTATAATCTGAAAAACGTGATATATTGTTCATATTAAATAGATGCTGAAAATTTGGTTAATACCATATTGATGTCTTCTGATATAGTATCTATCTATCTATCTATCTATCTATCTATCTATCTATCTATGTCAGTAGATTATCTATCTATCTATCTATCTATCTATCTATCAATCAGTTTTAATCTATCTATCTATCTATCTGTTTTAGTCTATGTGACGTCCCTTTCTACAGCCTTCGCTCGCTCCTCGCTGCTTCGTTCGGGTGTCGCCGATCCAAACGTGACGTCCGCCTGTCTGCGTCAGTCGTGTTGTCCCGTCCTGTGACGACCAACTGGCTTGGTATCGGTTGCAGCACCCAAATGTGACGTTCTAACCTTTTGGTGATTCGGATGGGAATCTGGTCAGATCCGATATCAGCCTCGTCGTTCCTAACTCGCTTCTAACGTCTGGTTACCAAAGTAACTGCGTTGATCTCCAGTCCGCCTACCCACGCTGTGAATTGATCTTAGGCAGACGAAATCAATCAGTCGTTGGGGCCGTAATGCAAGTTGAGTTCAAACGAGGGTGGTATCACACAAATATGTATAAAATAAAATAAAATGATAACTCAAAAGTTCAAAGTATAAAAAAAAGGATAACGATACTTTATATCTGGTTGCTGGATACATAGGACTGCGTCTATCTCCCGACCCGCTTATGGATTGTGACACGTTGTTTTTGTTAGGTGAGTTTTAACATCTTAAGTTGTCTGTTCTTTAAGAAATTGGTTCTTGGTGTGTCTTCAGGCGATAGTCGTAACACTTGTGTTGGTGGTAAGAATCTAAGTCGCTCTTCAAAAATAAATTGTTCTTGGATTGAAGATGAGTTCGGAAGTTACGCGAATCTTTCAAGTCAGCTCTGCGAGGCCTGATTCAACTGAGCACTGAAGACTGAACTCTGGAAAACCGGAGTCCGAACTTAACTGATTTCTGCTCGCTGCGACTTTGCTTATACGGACGCCGACCAAAACCGGGGTGGGCTTTGTCGGGGTTGGAGGTTCCTCGATAATTCTAAATCCATATCCACTTCTTTTATTTTTGGTCAGGAATTTTCCACTCCTTTCCATTTCTGGAAGTCTTCTCTTACTCCCACCTTCTCTTATTCTCATATAGATATCTCACCATACTTCAGAGGGGCGTCCACAGTTCTCCCCACTTCTTCGTAGCAACTTCTCATACCTATCCTCTAAATGGGCGGCGGCGGCTCCCCCCTTGCGTCACGTGATCACCTCCGCCTGGCCCCGTTGACATTCGGCCAATGGCGTCCAACCGGGTGGGTGTGATCCGGCTAGCTTTGTTTTAAGAAAAAAATATATCTTGCTAAAAAAAAAAAATCTTTTTCTTTTCCTTTACTTTCCTTAATCGCAGCTCTCATCCCCAATGTCACCTGGGATCTATCAATGCCAATTATCAAGTGGGTAGTCGTCTAGCGAAGCACAGCCGATTCCTGTCTCGAAAAACAGTTTCATTGTCCTAGCCGTATTTGCATTCTTGGTGCCAATTTCTGATAACATAGTTTTATTATCATAACCAAATTCTAACACCCATAGATGTCTTGTCAAAACGGCAAAGACTTAACCCAGGGTTGGCTTCGTGTGCAGTTAACAGATGGCCTATTAAATCGTTTCCCGACAATATTGTTTGCCCCCTCTGACACAGTTAATTTTTCTTATCTATACAAAGCTCTGTATTCACCTGTTCCTTGTCAGGCAGCCCTACAACACTGGCCGTCAGAATTTTCACCATCTTTTTCCATTATCAAAATAACATTGTCAAAATGTCTCGGAGTTTAGCTAGACGGTCTGTAGTTTGTCAATTAGATGTTCGCCAGCATTAAGTGGCTGTTATCTATTCCCGATAACATAAGTCCGCCACCACAACACAGTCGATTTTCTTATCCATTTAGAATTTTTCTGCAATGGTAATGAAACCTTTCACCATTTGCTACTCATCAAAATAACATTGTCAATGTCCCCGGTCGTGGGTGGTTTCTTTTATCATCTAAGCTTAAGTCTCGCCTCTCTTTTCCTTTCTTTCCTTTCTCTTTTTCCTTTCTTTTTTTCCTTTTTTCTTTTTGTGCCCCTAAATGGTGTCACATCTATCTATCTATCTATCTATCTATCTATCTATCTATCTATGTCAGCAGATTATCTATCTATCTATCTATCTATCTATCTATCTATCTATCTATCTATCTGTTTTAATCTATTCTTATCTATCTATCTATCTATCTCTCTATCTATCAGTTTTAATCTATCTATCTATCTATCTATCAGTTTTAATCTATTCATATCTATCTATCTCTCTATCTATCAGTTTTAATCTATCTATCTATCTATCTATCTATCTATCTATCTATCTATCTATCTATCTATCCCAATGTATTCATTATCTATCTAGCTATCTAACATTATTTATGTATGTATATATATATATATATATTTATGAAAATATAAAAGAAGGAAAAGAATAAAATTCAAACGTTCATAACATTAAAAAAACTCAATACAAGAGTAGAGCAATAGATATTTATTATAAACTGTTACACTGTAACATGCAAGTTACTACTATTTCTAGTAACTTGCATATTCTAATGACACTACTACTACTAAGAGTAATTGTAATTTTATGTTCTAATGTAATTACTACTACTGCTACTAATACCTTGCATGTTCCTAATGTAACAGTTTATAAGTATCTCTCTCTCTCTCTCTCTCTCTCTCTCTATCTCTATATATATATATATATATATATATATATATATATATATATATGCGCGTATGCGTGTAATGATTTCCGCTCAGTCATCTCGGAGTTAAATAAGAACTGAGTGACATTCTTGCTGGAACAGTAAAAGCTAACCTCTCGATAACCTCTTTGAATACCGTGTCTGCCATATTGTAGTTAACGGCATTTACGTTGCTTAGTCTGTTCGTATCTATCTATCTATCTATCTATCTATCTATCTATCTATCTATCTATGTTAGTTCATATCTATCTGGATTAATCTAGAAAAGGAGCCACACTCAATAATTAAACGAAAGTTGCAGACATGTTAATAAATATATTTTGGGCCTATACAGAATCGGACGGAAGTAAATCCAACAATAAATAATTCTTTTTTATGTCCCTTTCCGGTTCGAATTATTCTTACCATATCCCTTCCCTTCTGGGATTCTTGCTGTTATAATCTTAGGTTTGTAAACGATGAAATTGAGGGTTAAAAATATAATTTGCCAGTACCACCTGAATAAAACTCATTTTCGCCATAATATATCATAGGTAGAATATGTCAATCTAAAAGGTATCACCATGAAAATCCTGGAATGAGTCTCAGTCAACATGCTGGTAACGGAAAAATGTGTTACGTATAAATGTTTTCTGTTTAATGGGTGGTTGGAGATATCAATAGCTCCGACAGAGTGGTTCGATTTATCAAGAGCGCAGTATTGAAAAGCTCGCCATGACAGGTAAGAAATAGATCCACTAGAGAACCCTGTTGCTCGATTTGACTTGGGAAACAAGTAGGGAAATTCACGATTTGAGTAAGGGCTTGACCAATAGAAAAAAGAATTAATGTCTACATATCGGCAACGTCAGTATCTTCAGAATGTTTCAGCCATGTGTCAAACAGTAGCAAATAGGCACCTGAGAAAAGGCCCTGTGATGATAGTTGATGAACCAATTCAATATTGAGTAGGGCCTCTAACACATTCCCAAAACGAGGCAGAAGGCTAATAGGCTGATAGCTGGAGGAGTCAGTTCACCAGAGTTCTTAAAAACTGGAACAACAGATGATGACTTGCAGGAAAGCGGGAGGCAGCAAGGCATTTATTATATAGTTTAGAGAGCCAGTTCAGGAACACACTTCATAATAACTATTACAAGGATGCCTTTGAATCCACATGATTTGTGGCGATAAAGGTTAGAGATGGTAGCAGAAACAATGGAAAGGATTATATGCATATCACTTAACAGAAAATCAGTTCTAAGTGAGAAGTCAGGTAGGGATACTCCAGATGAGACAAGATTAGAGTTTAAAGAGAATTTATGAACAAAAAAAATCAGCTTTATCAGCAGAGGATGATAACACCTCAAATCGAGACCTTGCATTTATTTAGTACCCTATTACAGAGATACCAGTAGTCACAAGAGCCAAAGTTTTTAGAGGCTATGTGCTGTTTCATTCTTTCACCAAACAGGAACTTAGCTTTTTTGAGGACTTGTTTACATTTATTACAAGCAGTAGCCAATAGGCACCTGATATGATGAAAGCTGTCATGGTAGTATAGCCAGAAATAGTGGTTCCTGTGTGCTGTGGCAGTCAAGCATGCTGGTGTGAAGCATGGAGTGGATTGAGGTTTCACCTGGTATTTCTGAGAAGGAATGAAAGTGTCCATGTCAGCTTTGGTCCAAGAAGAAACTTCAGTGGCACAATTTTCAATTGGGTAGTTAAAGATGTCAGTCCAAGGGATGTTACAAAGAAAATCCCAGAATGAATTCTAATCAGCATGATGGTAAAGGAAAGAGGTCTTATGGATAGGGGGTTACTGCTTAATGGATGCTTGGAAGGAGATATCAATAGCTGCCACAGAGTGATCCAAGTTATCAAGAGGGAAGTATTGTGAAGCTCAGCAAGAGAGGTACGAAATAGATCCAACAGAGAAGCATGTTGCTCGGTTTAGCTAGGGAAATGAATTGAAAAGTTCACAATTTGAGTGGGGGATTGGGCAATGGAAAAATTTAATGTCTGTGTACTAGCAACCTTTAGAATGTTTCAGCCACGTGTTGTGGTGAACATTAAAATTAACAAAGATAAAGCTGTTTGCAGGTGGATGTGGAGAAAGTGCCTTTTCTATACTGTCAGCTATTGCATCTAATATACTGCAGTTTTGGGAAGAGAAGGAACAATAAAGGAAAAAAAAGATAGTTGACAGCGTTTAGTAGCAAAAGACAGAAGAACATGAAAGAGTAGTCAGAGGTCTCGAGAGACAATTCCCTGGCCATCGGAAGATTATCCCGGATGTAAATACCTAGGCCATGCATATGAATGCTGCAATCTTTTTGGCAAAGAAGAAGATAGACAGGAACTAAGAATTCATTGGTAGCAATGAAAGAATTCAAGTTTGACAAAGACAGGGCAAAGATATCTGGCGGCTGTTCCAGGAGAAATGATTCTACTCAGCTACACTTTTAGCCATTATCAAGGATGATTTCATTTTATCTTTTTAATTGAATGTATGGGTGTGTGTGTATGTATCTAGAGTTATAGGGATGTTTTATTTTCCGAATACGGTCAGCACACTGTAGCCGTGTTTGTAATTTGACTTACTGAGTGTTGTTTTTCTTTTTAATTATGAGGCCTTCCGTTATTTTTAATCATTATTTTACACGTGGATGAGGATGTTATGCTTGTATTATCTTCTCTAGTATATTTCAGATGGAGTTTTTAGGTTTGTGTGTGTATTTCAATGAGTTCTAATAGAGTTGTGGTCGGAGAGGTGTAACATAAGTCGTCTGGTGAGACATGTAGTAGTGTGACCGATGTAATTATTTATCAGTTTGGTTTGATCAGGAACACAGTTCCTCAAGGGTCATTTGAACTCGTAAATATTGGCTGTTTTTTGTGGGTTTCATTCTGCAGGTGTGTTGTTATCTTTGATAATGGCTAGAAGTATAGCCGAAAGCGCACAGAAATGCAGAACTTTTGGAGAGTTTATACACAGAAAGAAAACACTTTTACAAACACAAGAAGAATTGAATAAAAGGCTTAATCGCAATACCTTGTCAGTCGTCTTTAACGAAACACACACACACAGAGACACACACACACACACACACATATATATATATATATATATAATAAAAAGGCTTAAACACTAATATTCCATGGTCATAATTTTTTCCATTGGAATCGTAAATACGATTCATTTCATCAGACCTACAAATTCAAAATTTGAATTTGTAGGTCTGATGAATTGGATCATATTTATGATTCCAATGGAATAAATTATGACCATGGAATATTAGTGTTTAAGCCTTTTTATTATATCCTTACTCTGTCCTAGACATTGAGTTCTACCTGGATCCTTCCTCTTGGAAAATTTTTTTCTGAAAATATACATGTATGGGAATATTTTATATATATTTTGCATATGTATGTATATTTTTCACTAATATTATCTATCTATATCTATATCTATATCTATATCTATATATATATATATATATATATATATATATATATATATATATATATATATATATATATATTCAGTTACGTTATTTTAATAGATACATAGATTTCATCAACGTATAAACTGAATATATATATATATATATATATATATATATATTCAGTTTATACGTTATTTTAATAGATACATAGATTTCATCAACGTATAAACTGAATATATATATATATATATATATATATATATATATATATTCAGTTTATACGTTATTTTAATAGATACATAGATTTCATCAACGTATAAACTGAATATATATATATATATATATATTCAGTTTATACGTTATTTTAATAGATACATAGATTTCATCAACGTATAAACTGAATATATATATATATATATATATATATATATATATATATATATATATATATATATATATTCAGTTCATACGTTATTTTAATAGATACATAGATTTCATCGGATATTGACTGAATATATATATATATATATATATATATATATATATATATGGTGTATATGCTGTTTTGATGTTGACTAATTTATTTCTTACATATGTGTGAAAATCGAAAAATAAACTATTACGTCACTTCCTTTTCATTATCAGTTCTGAATTGCTGTGTAATGACTGCTTTCTCGTTAGTTTTGCTTTAATCCAAAGCATAACTTCTCTTAGACTTTTTCCACCCAAGGCTAGAGATCCTTTTTTTCTAATGCAGTCTAAGCCATACATTCATACTTTTCTCACTTATATTTGAGTGAAAGTAAACGGCCCGCTTTTTAAATCGTTGGCTGCTTTTATTTCCCCACCTCCAATGGCCACGTGATATCGCCTCGCAATTACTTGTACCAAAATGATAATTTACTTTTTTTTGGCCGGCTGAATATCGTTGTTGAATATTTGAAATGCGCGCTCGTTACTGTTCATTCTTAAAGTTTAATTTGTGAAAATGTACAGAAAAAAAAAGAAAGATCGGCAAGTCACCAGTGATACTTATACAAATATAGCAATGGTTGGCTGAGATCTAGAAAGAGATTTTTATCCGGTTACAAAGAGCATGATGGAAGATGCCGGAATTTGAAATGTGATGAACTGGGGGAAATTTTATATGTTATATAAAATAAAATACATTAAATTTCCAAAAAACGTTTTAAAAAAATATGCCAATGAAAGATTCAACTCGCTTGAATGAAATAGAAAAGATTGTTTTTTCCTTAGTCAGAAAGTCGGCTATAGATTTCAGTACATGTCAACGACTACCATCTTGTAGGAAATGAAACGAAAGAGACAATAACGAAGCTAGGATGGTAAGTTCTACAATGCAGTTTATTGTCTAGAACTGCAAGTTCCCGATTCTAATTTTTTTCTGTCCATAAAATAAATAAAACGTGTCTTGTAAAACATCATAACAGAAGCAACTGACTTTGACTGAATAATGATGCTATGAATAACGGCTCTTGCTTCCAAAAAAACATTTCTATCCATAAAAATAAAACGTGACTCGCAAAACATCATAACAGAAGATACACTTTATAAGTAAAATCGTAGAAAGGCCAGAAGTATTGACTGAATAATGATGCTATGAATAACGGCGCTTGCTTCCAAAAAACATTTCTATCCATAAAAATAAAACGTGACTCGTAAAACATCATAACAGAAGATACACTTTAAAAAAGTAAAAATCGTAGAAAGGCCAGAAGTATTGACTGAATAATGATGCTATGAATAACGGCGCTTGCTTCCAGAAAAACATTTCTATCCATAAAAATAAAACGTGACTCGTAAAACATCATAACAGAAGATACACTTTATAAGTAAAATCGTAGAAAGGCCAGAAGTATTGACTGAATAATGATGCTATGAATAACGGCGCTTGCTTCCAAAAAAACATTTCTATCCATAAAAATAAAACGTGACTCGTAAAACATCATAACAGAAGATACACTTTATAAGTAAAATCGTAGAAAGGCCAGAAGTATTGACTGAATAATGATGCTATGAATAACGGCGCTTGCTTCAAAAAACATTTCTATCCATAAAAATAAAACGTGACTCGTAAAACATCATAACAGAAGATACACTTTATAAGTAAAATCGTAGAAAGGCCAGAAGTATTGACTGAATAATGATGCTATGAATAACGGCGCTTGATTCCAAATAAACGTTTCCTATTTATTGATTTACTTGAAATGACCGAGAAAATATCAAGGTTTTCCTTTTTTTTAATTTTCTGATGAATCATAATTTTCAAGTTAATTGTTAAATGTGATCCTTGCAAGTTCGATAGCTATAAAATCTCCCCTGGCAAACTGTGTATGCATCGTTATATATTCGCGCTAAAGAGCTTCAACAAATGATTGTAATAACATTCAGGATTACAGATGCAACTTATTATTTAAAGAAATAAGCGTGTACCTTTCAAAGATACCGGGCATGTGAGAAAACGACGTTGTTTTAGAGAAAATGGAACCAAAAAGGAAACTTATACTTAACATCAGGAAAAGACAGTTGAAATGTCTGGGGCTCATAATTAGGAAAGAAAGCTCGGAAAATATGAAACACACAGAAAAGATTGAGGGTAAGTGAGAGAGGAAAACAACGAATAAAATACTTAATGAGTTTGAATAAATGGATGGCAGAAGCGGATTTAGAAGTAACAGAAAGACAATTTTTTTATTAAGAGCTACAATGGACAGGATGTTGTGAAGGGCTATGATCGCCTACGTCCTGAGGGGATAATAGCAAAAAGTGTAGCAGTATGTGTGTGTGTGTGTGTTTCGTTAAAGCTTTTTATTTAATTTTTCTTGTGTTTATAAAAGTGTTTTCTTTCTGTGTATAAACGCTCCAAAAGTTCTGCATTTCTGTGCGCTTTCGGCTATACTTCTAGCCATTATCAAAGATAACAACACACCTGCAGAATCAAAACCACAAAGAACCGCCAATATTTACGAGTTCAAATGACCTTTAAGGAACTGTGTTCCTGATCAAACCAAACTGATAAATAATTACATCGGTCACACTACTACATATCTCTCCAGACGACTTATGTTTCACCTCTCCGACCACAACTCTATTAGAACTCATTTAAATACACACACAAACCTAAAAACTCCATCTGAAACATACTAGAGAAGATAATACAAGCATAACATCCTCATCCACGTGTAAAAAAAAGATTAAAAATAACGGAAGCCCAAATAATTAAAAAGAAAAAAAAACAACACTCAGTAGGTCTAATTACAAACACGGCCACAGTGTGCTGACCGTATTCGGAAAACAAAACATCCCTATAACTCTAGATACATACACCCCCCCCATACATTCAATTAAAAAGATAAAATGAAATCATCCTTAATAATGGCTAAAAGTGAAGCAGAGTAGAATCTTTTCTCCTGGAACAGCCGCCAGATATCTTTGCCCTATCTTTGTCCATCTTGAATTCTTTCATTGCTACCATAAAGAAAAGGAAGAAACGGGTACAAAAAAGAAATTAAACTTGACAAGTTTCTTTTTATTTCATTCGAGCAGACGTTGAACAAATGAGCGCGTTATCGTCTCGTCTATCTTCCCTTTCTTTTTCTAACTGAAACCAAACATCGACCTGTTTTTTTTTTCATTTTTCTCTCACAATCAAAACCGAATAGTCCATTATTTATGAGGTATTGGTGGGACGTTATGTACGAGCCAGCAAAGTAACTAAGGAACAAGGAATAAGAAAAAGCTATATTATAACTAGTTTTCCTTTTTTTGATATTCTGATGAATCTTTATTCTTATGTCAATGACTGAATAAACTCAATGAGCGATCTACGACAATAAAATAAGCGTAGAAATTCCTTTATATTCCCGTTAAATTTTTGAATTTTAACATAATATTAAAGTAAAAATCATAAATAGGAATGATCGACGTTATTTTAAGTGGGTACAAATGAAAAATATTTGAAGTTGACAACTTTTTCCATTTCACTGAAACAAGCGGTAAAATTTTCTTTCTTTTTCTCACTGAAATCAAGTAACGTATCTGAATGACTTTTTAGTCTTTCCATCCCATCAAAACTGAATAGTCTATTATTTATGAGGTATTGCTTGGAGACGTTAAAGACTTCCATCTTCTCGAGATTCTTTATTTTTGCTTTCTTTCTTTCTTTCTTTCTTTCTTTCTTTCTTTCTTTCTTTCTTTCTTTCTTTCTTTGACAGTAAGTAGCGTCTCAGATATGTCTTTTCACCTGAACAAAACGGAAAAAAAAAGTTCATTATTTTGAGGTATTGGTAGGAGACGCTAAAAACTTCAATCTCCGATTTTTTTTTCTTTTTATCTTTCTTTATTTCCTTCTTCCTTTCGTTTTCTCCCCTAAAAACCATGTAGGGTATCTGATATGTCTTTTCTGTCTTTCCACGCGATCGAAAAGGAATAGTACTTTATTCATGACGTATTGGTAGCAGACGTTAAATATTTCTTTCTTTCTTTTTCTTTATTTCTTTCCTTCTTTCACTGAAGCTAATATACGACTCCGTTATGTCTTTTCCGTACTTCCACGCTATCAAAACGGAATAGTCCATCATTTATGATCTATTAGGTTGGTGCAAAAATAATGACGTAATAATGTCGTTTTTTGACGTATTTTTTAACGTTAAAAAACGACATTTACGTCATTATTTTGCACCAACCTAATATCAGCAGGGCATAAAGTTCGTGCTAACTAAAACCGGGGGGGGGGATCAAAATTATGAAAATTTTTTTTTTATTATTCAGCCGAGTAAATGCGAGTCCCCGATCCAATACTGCAGTTAATTTTCAACTCCATAATCTTTTGAATTTTTCTCTATTATGCGCCTTATCGGGACAACAGCCGGTTTTGAATTCCGTGATGTCTTTTACCTAGACTGATTGCAAACCATGAATAGAGATTGCAATATTCGTTGTCATTTAACCCATAGCTGGGAGGAGAAGAGATAAATTTCATATAATTTCCTAGAATATAAATGACCTCATAAATTTCTATTCTCAGAGTAATAACAAAATAATACACGGAAAAATTATCAGATTCTATTCAATAGCACTCAAAATTTGTAACCAATATTTAGACGAGTTCGAGAAATGCATCGAGCATACTTTTAAGCTATTCCAATAGACTAATTATTTCACATTCAATGCTTAACAAAAGGCTCATCAAATATTTCAAAATAAAAAGAATTAACCATTCCAGCATATCCAATGTTTATTTGTTTCTTTAGCGGCATAGGGTCATTTAATGCCGAAATTTAATTTTCATGCGAGCATTCATAATTTCTTTTACAAATATGTAATGCTGGTATTTTTTTTGTAAAATGAATTTCTGGTAATATTTTGTTTTTAACAAAAATGTATTGCTGGGAATAGTTTTTTTTTTTTAACAAAAAATCTATTGCTTTTAATATTTTTATTTTTAACAAAAAATCTATTGCTGGTAATATTTTTTTGCTTTTAACACAAAAATATATTGCTGGTAATTTTTATTTTATACCAAAATGTATCGCTGGTAATATTGTTTTTAAATATATTACTGGTAATATTTTTTAATTTTTTTTTTTTTACACAAATGTAATGCAGGCAATATTGTTACTATGAAAAACTACAAAAAAAAAAACAAAAAAAACTATTACTATCCCACTACTAAAATGTATTTTCATACTTTCATAATATTTTGACCTCAGTTTTGGGTCTGTTTGCCCAAAGCTGGGAGCCTAAGTGATGCTACAATCCCGGATCAGGGTGGACCTAGGAACAACAACAATTCCACGCTACTCACAACTTCTTGATCACACACTTTGCTGCCGGATGTAGTTTATCGTCATACCCAGGACGCAGTATATTCAATAATATATACAGATATACAGGCATCCCTCTATTAATGCGCATTTGGTTAATGCGTTTTCGTTTAGTGTACTAAAATTTTTATATACCAAAATTCGATTAGTGCATACATAATACTCGATTAGTGCGGTAAAATATTCTACAGTTTAACGATAGTAATAGAAAATTGTTTTTTTAAAGTTACCAATTAATTAAAAATTTTCTAAAATTTAAGAATGTAAAATGGATAACGGTTAGGTTTATCAAGTATTACGTCATCTAAGTAATTGTTGTAGTTTTTGTTAAAAAAAATGACAGTTATAAATAGATAAATTTTATCATATAAGACGATAATAAAAATACATATTTATATATTTGTATCTATTAACATATTTTTTAATATTTTGATCTTTTTTTCATGTTTATTTTGAAAGTCTTAAAAGGAAAATTCTGATTTTTTTATTAAAAAGATGGACAATTTAATTAGAAATTTATATTTATTATAAAAATATCGAAATATAAGAGATGTTTGCAGTCAATATAGATAGACTAGCAGCATGGCCCGGCGTTGCCCGGGCTTCATTCAAAAATCGTACGACTCATACAGCAATTGCAATCACTTGACTTAAAATACTTTTGCCCTTCCTTGCCTTTAAAGGAGTGCCATTTGCCGTTCTGATGTTGCTACATGCCTTACTTCTTGCCTATCTCACACTGCGAATTTTTTCTAAGCTCTATACTAAACATTAAATCTGTTACGAAAAAAGAACTAAACAAAATGAACACAAAACGATCAGCTTTAAAAAAGGACGCGTAACTGGAAAAACCGAATGAAAAAAGAATGTTAACAACAAATACTTTTTCACGCCCAACCCAGTTCTGCAAAATCAGAATCAACGTTGAGTTTAGGCAAGCGAATGAGACAATTGGAGTAAAGTGCAATGCAGATTTAAATTTTTCCCACTTGTGACAAATGCAGCTATCGAATTTTTTCATGCTAGCATGCTAGTTAATATTCGTGTCAGTCAGCTGTTGGCTCTCACGCTGGCTAATAGAATCTTTTTATTTATTATTGGCAGCCAGCTATAGGCTCTCACTCTGGCCAGTAGAAAATGGCCGCAAACTACATGAAAACTGCCGTAGAATCATGAAAATATCGATTATTTCCACTATCGATGGAAGTTGGGAAATGCAAAGTCGGTCTTGGCCTTCCCACTAACTTGGAGCATGTGCATGTAAATTTTGGTGCAAATCCGCCGAAAATTGCGGCCATGCCTTCGTTACACACACACACACACACACACACACACACACACACACACACACACACACACACACACACACACACACACACATCCTGTCTTTTATAGATAGAGATTATAAATAAAATTTTCTGCTTAAAATACGAGTGATTATTATGTTTGGAAAAATTGAAGTTTTCATAAAAGATCAGATTAATAACTATTATTTTATAGCATTTTTATTGTATTATTTAAATGTACCTATATTTTAATTAAAAAAGTTCGTCAATTAGAACTTAACTGCTAATGAGACTAAAATTTGAGATACAAATTATATTATTTCCTATAAGTTATTATATTCGATTATTGCGTTTTCGATTAGTGCGTGTCTTTTAAAGTACAACATTAGCCACACTAATCGAGGGATTTCTGCATTAGTCTACCTACAGACTCTTTATCAACAACAGTTTAAAAGAATTTATCGAAGCTTAATATGGCATTTATTACAAGAAAAATAATGGTTGATAAAATCAAAATAATAATAAGACAAAAATTAAAGGAGCAATATTAACCATCAGCGGTTATGATTGCCAGAAGGAATACATAGGAACATCTGATGCATGAGTAGATCACCTTAACCAGTAGGACCCTAATTTCAATTTCAAAACAAATCCTGATTTATTAAAAAGAGAAAGCAATTTATTAAAGTGAAAGTGTATAGAAAGTGTCTTGATCGCTAGATGAAACACGGTTAAATTTACATCCACGTTCTCACAGCATTTAACTTTTCTTGATAGATCCACTGTTATCTCCATGTGGGATACCTGACAATGGAAAGTGATAAAAACAAAAACAAAAGAATTTTCAGTGTTTCAAAATCTTGAACGTTTCCTATCGAGAAAAAACAAATCATAACCGACATTTTTTCTACACATATATATCAATCAATCAATAAAAATATTATTAGGTCCTCCTCCTTATATATATATATATATATATATATATATATATATATATATATATATATATATATATATATATATATATATATATATATATATATATATATATATATATATGAATGACGCATCAGAAAAAAGTCCGTGCAAAAAAATTCGAACTCTGGCAGGACCTAATTGGACAAAATATTATATTCATTGATTATATATATGTTAAGAAATGGACAAGGTCCGACAATTTATTTATTATTAAAGACATTTTTTTTTTTTATGTTTAACGTTGTTATTTTACAGATACAAGTATTTAAGCAAATGCTCTGTTTATAATAAACAGTATTAAATAACATTTACCGGCCTGAATGTCCGAGAAATTTTCATAGAAAATATTCGTTCTTTGACAGGATTCGAACCTGCATCCTATACGGAACCGTCATATACGCTGACGTGCCTTACCTCTAGGCTACAAAGAACCAATCGGTAGACATTTTTTTTTTATGTTTAACGTTGTTATTTTATAGATACAAGTATTTAAGCAAATGCCGGTAAATGTTATTCCATTTCTTAACATATGACTTCATTTGTTTACATTCGATACGCCAGAGCAGTTATGAATGTACGAGATTCATGGAAGATTGGAGTTTATAAGCAGTAAATTCGACCCTGTCTACCGATTGGTTCTTTGTAGACTAGAGGTAAGGCACGTCAGCGTATATGACGGTTCCGTATAGGATGCAGGTTCGAATCCTGTCAAAGAACGAATATTTTCTATGAAAATTTCTTGGACATTCAGGCCGGTAAATGTTATTTAATACTGTTTATCATAAACAGAGCATTTGCTTAAATACTTGTATCTATAAAATAACAACGTTAAACATAAAAAAAAATGTCTTTAAATATATATATATATATATATAATCAATGAATACACACACACGCACGCACACAGATATATGTATAATATATATATATATATGTGTGTGAGAGAGATAACGATATATATTTTTATATGTGAAGAACAGTATTGAGGAAATTGTAAGGTAAAATGGAAAACAAATCTAATCCGATGAAGTCCTACCGGATGAAACGCGTCACAAATATTTTCTATTTTGTCTTACACTTTTCACAATATATATATATATATATATATATATATATATATATATATAT